CAGTGAATACCACTTGTGTCGCCAGTGGCTAACGAGCGCAGTTCAGATAACAACTGATTCATTTGTCATCTCAACACTACAGTGCTCCCAGACTGAGAGTGTGTACGTCTGTGTAAGTCTACGTCGTGTGTGTTTTTCTGTGTGTGCGTGGTGCCTGCCGGTGAATCATACCCTGAGGTTCACTGAGATGGCCTCAGTGTACACTCCTCGCTCTCGCCTTTCAGTGTTTGCTAAGTGAGCCATGGGATTAGTTTAGACAGGGCAGCCTGCTACTGCATCCACGTCTCGATTCCTCAACTATTTCAAAGCGTATGCAGTGCCCAGAGAAGATGTGCAACTGTGGCTTTGGGTTTAAAATAGAACAAAGATGCAGTTATTAACAGCACCTCTCCTGTACAAAAAGTTATTTTTAATCCTTCACATCAGGCAGTGAAAGTAGTGAAAGCAGACACCCGTGTGAAACATATTTGAGGATCAATCTGTGTAGATTTTATGCATTCCTGAGTATAAGCCTCTATTTTATAATCACAGTGGGTGAAGAATAGAGGCTGCAGTCTTACTGTTTTAACTAACCACTCACTGAGCTGATAGATGAGAAGAACCTAGCAGATGGTAGGGCTCCACAACTGTGCAGGCCAAAAACAAAAATCAATCTATTACTATTACTTTGGACCCGACCTCGATTCCAAAGATAGAATTCCACAGATTTCTGGATCAGATTTCACAAAGAAGCGAGTGGCACATGGTCTGCTTTGAAGCTGCTTGGTATACTGAAAATTCAGTGCTTTTTTCAATATTACAATATCATAAAGAGTTCAGTACTGTAACTTTGGATACTTTCTTTTTTTTCATTTAACCCCTTAAATGGCCAGGGCCTGTCAGCTGCCCAAAGTTTTATTACACACTTCTATAAGCTAAGAATAGCTCAATCAGTTTGCAGTGAAGTCTCTGTAATTACTAGCCTTAATTTATAATAAAGCCTGGTATTTTAAGAGGTTAACACTGGGCTGCCACTTCATTCAATGGGACCAATTTGGGCAATACTAGCTGCTGTGTAGGGCGTGAGGTTACTTTTGCACTTTAAATGTAGCCATTCTTCTCCCATATCACTGTGGTAAGGCATGCAAGCAAACAAGCTTGATGACAAACCTATTAAAAAATGTAGCATAAATAATTTAACCCTATCAAGCTTAAACGCAACCTGAAAGACTAAACTCTGGTTCTAGTGCTTATTCTAACTCTAATGCTGCTGATAATCAACTGAGTTTCACCAGATAGTTTGCCAACTATTTAAACACATGACAGTGGACTATCAGATAGGAGTCTGACAGCTTAAGTGCATCACTAAACTCCAAAAGCACTGTACCTTGGTGCCGCTGTAGAAGTCGTCAGCGGTGGTGGCGTTCATGAAGGTCTCCTGCAGGTGAACACTGGTGTCGATGCCTCCAGGCAGCACCAGCTTGCCGGTGGCGTCAATCACTTTGGCACCGCCCGGGATCATCAGCTCCTTGCCCACCTGCTGGATGATGCCATTCTCGATGTACACGTCAGCCTCCTGGGTGAAGTCATCGTTCACCACTTTGCCTCCCTTTATAAGGATACGCACCATCGCAGAGCCAGAAGACATGATTCTACCTACAAGAAAGACAGAGAGAGTGGGAGAACACAACTTGCTGCTAACATCCCTCTCAGAAATATCCAAATGAAAGCCTTTCAACCTGGCAAAATGCACTGTGGTCTCATAAGAGACCGTTAAAATGCAAAGAAAGTTTTCCACTTCTTCCACATGTGGTCTGCCCAGCGTTCTAATCACAGGGTTGGAAGGCGATTCCCAAATTTGAGGATTCAACTGGACTCAGACTTGATTCAGAAAAATAAGATTTCTGGCATTTCACAAGCTACTTTTGACAGAAGCGAGGCTTAAAACCACAGCACATAATCACAGTGTGGAATATCGGAGCTGAGGCTGAATGGACTTCAGCACTGTGCCTCCATGCTCGGCACTAATAATTCGTCTCTAATTACTGCTCAGGCCAGTCGCTCTGACGAAGCCCTGCAGAAAATCAATACCATATGTGTGTTCAAATGTAATCGGTGAGCACATCTGTAGAGCTGCTATGCTTAACGCTCCATGCTGCAAACTGTGCAACCCACAGGCACAACATCAAGTGAGTTATATCATCTGGCAGAGGCGAACAGCAGCGTCAGCGCTTATAAAGAAATCATGATGCTGCGAGTCAGGGTGGTTCTGACCCAGATTGCGCGGGGCGTAGTGTGCAGAGGGGCACAGGTGTGCTCGAGCAGAGAAATGGGACGGCAGCCACTGTTGACTTCCCTCTTGGTGTTCCATGTTCAAGGCCCTGTAGTGCAAGCATGCCACTGCCATGGCAAGTGGGTGCGGCAAATTCACAGCATGACGACCCCCCCCCTCCTGTTCTAAGCCCCTGATTGGGAGGGGAAGGGAAGGGGGTGGTTGCCAAGGGAGCGGGCAAAGATGGGTGTGTCCTCAGCCATCCTCAGACTGAACTATATTAGGAAAGCAACAGCATTACACTACATATGCTACATCCCTGCTCTCTCCAAAGGGCCTAAAGACAAATTAGTCACGCATTTGTTCCCCATCATAGCTTATGTAGGCTGATTCTACCATGACCCATTTCCTGAATTTAGCATGTTTCATGCAATACAGAGAGCTCTCTTGTCAACAACACAGAGTGGCCAAGAACACTTCAGGGAGACATCATTGTTATTGCAGCAAAATAATGTGAGAAAAACGATCATAATCTCAGTCTGACACTATGTGGGCTCCATGTGCCATGTTTCATGACCGGCTAACCGCCTCAGCGCGAATGTTCAAAACATTTACATTGCTTTTACATTCGGAATGGTGCTTTGACGTGGCAAAAGCACTCTCCACGCCAGAAAGCACAGAGATGGATGGAAGCGGATATTACATATCCAGCGTGCCATGGAGCTAAATGAGAGTGGAGATGGACGGTACATCCCACTTGGATGTTATGGAGCCTATCACACACACAAAGGGGTGACCAAGCCCTTCCATTAATAGACGCAGGATGCTCTGAGCAAACCTCGATAAACCGACGTTTTTGGACTGTGTAACGCGAAGCAAGCAAGATTGCATGCCTATTTTAGCATTTTTCCGTCTGTGAGATCAGATTACGACGGTCACATTTCGACATAGCCTTCATCAATCACGTTTATGGCTGATGGGCTCGACATGGGACCGACTGGTGCAAGTAAAATTACACCGCGCTGGATTAGGACCAAAGAACGAGCCTGCAGGACGAATCAGGTTCGGATGGGAAGCGACGAGGAATATGCGACGTTACGTTACGGGAAAAAATCAAAACGGCAGAAAAATACAGGCTCCAGTTCTGGACTCTGTCATTCAGCACCGCCCGCTGTCTGCCCGCTATATCCGCAAAACAAATCATTCTAACTGCAAAAATGTGTGAAATACAATAAGGCTATTCCGCTTACCTCCTTTGTTGTATCCTAAACAGCCGTGTTTCGCCCACTTTCACTGCCGTCTGACGGTAACGCTTGCTGACACCCGCAGGCAGACACAGGCAGATGCTTCGCTCGGGAAACCTTACGGTCACAGCATCCACACGGCCCGAGCCGGCGGCGCACCAATCACAGAGCAGACATGCGGTGATTGCTTCAGCATTGACCAATGAGAGCGCAGAATGGGCGTATTCAGACCAGACGCCCTCGGCACGTACCATTATACGATTTCATAGGGGGGCAGTGGGGAGTTGTAGAACCCGTACTTTAACGTAGCGGCTAGCTAGCTCAACTAAATGTACAAATGCGAGTAACATCATTGTTCAGGATAATCTGTTGCAGAAAATGCCTGTGTGTCAGTCAGTCAAGCAGACAATCAAGTGAAAGTCAAATAAGTCACTGGCAAGATGAAAAGAAACTAAAACACCTGAGCTTTTCCAAAAAGTAGAAAAGGCAGACTGGAAGGACACCTGTAGTGTCCTCAGTCTTAAACTCCAATACACCTCTCTACGTTCACGACCTCATACCCGCATGTAAGCAAATCCATTTTCAAGCGCCTCTTGGGTGACGTTCTCTTGGATGGTTCAGGGATTTTGGAACTGCAGGCATTTAAAGGGCCCATATACTACATTAATCTTGTATTTTAACTGGTCCACTTACGACATTTGTGTGCTTTTGTGTACAAAAAACAGCCTTCCATACTTCATCTTTTAAACAATCATTTTACAATCTCTCCTAATCCCTTAGAATTAAATGTTTTAAAATTCACAAGTAAATCTGACTGGTGGACCTGTACTGCGCTTTATTCAAAAATGATTCTGGGCTGAAACGCTCCTTATAAAGCCTGTGTGAATGGGTGGGGCTAAACCTCCGTTGGCTGAATAGGTGGACATATCTAAATGAGTTCTAAACGGGCTGTTTTGACAGTTTAGTTTTCACATATGGACTATATGGAGCGGGGAATGAAAGGCACAGTTTGAAACTAACAATATTCACATGCTACATCAAAGTCTTTTATTTTAAAAAGCAAGGATTCTTTTTTTCAGTTTTTCAGGATATGGGCCCTGTTTTATAACTGTAGGCACCCTTAGTAATCATATTCTTTTGTATGTAAAAATAGAACAATAATTAATTTTAACAAATCTCTGGACTCCCTGACAAAAAATAAAGATAATAATAATAATAATGTACTCTGGGCCCCTGTGCAACAGTTTATACCACTTATAGTGAGAACACTGCTGTGCTTGATTGATAAATAATTAATTAGATTATTAGATAATTCATTTGTATAGAGAATTATGGAACCTGATATGAGTTTGTGTGTTTTGACACTGAAATCTAAAAAAAAGAACCTTCATAAATTTAAACAACAGAATCCTCATAAATAAACTTGGATAGTTTTTAAAAGATTCATTTTAAGTTTGAAATGTACTCACCAGAAGCAAGAAAACAGGTGAAAAATAACAGCTGTCTCGTTTTTGCACAAAAAACAATACATTTATTCAAGTGTTCTCCAGCACAAGTACATAAGGAGCCTTTTTTCTTCGTTCTGGGCACATAACAAAAGAGAGAGGGAGGAGAGGTGGAAAATGACTGCTACATCTGCTGTATGAGCTGATCTCGAAAGGAGAAGGCTTGAAAACAGTTATGACACAGAAGAGGTCACACAAAATCAACAGTGTCACTGAGATATATATAGAGAACCTGTTACGAGAGCAAACAAATAGGCCACAGTAGCCAAAAAATATATAAAATAAAAATGATCTAAAAAAAAAACAAAACAAAAGGAACAAAAGATGGAGGGCTGGATATATGGCATGGAATGTAGGACTTAAAAGCAATGCTGCCTGGATATTAAGCAAGTACATGTTAACAGCAAAAGTTATTACAATTTTTTTTCTTACTTCCTAATATGAGTACATGATTTTCCCACAGATAAGCACCAACTACAGCAATGTCTATTCTAAAACAATATAAGAATCTTTTCATTATCATTTTTTTCAAGTACAAAGTTAAAATGCCTTTGTTAATATATTTATATGAGAGAGTAAAATAATAGTGCTTTTCCAATACTACAAGGAACATAAAAACAGTCATTGTCAAGACAAGTTTATTTCTCTTCCAAATAATATAGTTTTTTCTCAATTAGATAAAATGTTTAGCACCTTAGGAAACACCTACAATCCCCCTTTTATTACTTATAAAAGAATTAAACGCAAATAAAAACAGACTTTTTGTATGTAGGGCTGTGCAGTAAAGATGGAATTTTCCATCTACTGTTAAGATCACTTGGCAAATTCATTCTTTTTGCTTTCCTTGTTCAACACACGACATATAAATATGAAACACAAAAGACCAGCAGTCTTCCCACCCCACTGCTCTATAGCTTATGTCAATTTTTCATGTCGCAATTTTGTCAATTACCCCTCTCTTTGCAATTGGAGACTTTTTTTTTGATTCCATGATATATATTAGCAAAGAATTATATTTGTACATCTCATAGGTCATTTTAAAACAGTCAAAAACAGCAACAGACATATTCTATGTACAAAATGTACAAAAAATATGGGCATTGATATCATCTGAATGCAAGAAAGGAGTTACTGCAGAACAGTAAGCAAGATTAAGGTATGTATGCAGTGCAATGCCTTATATAAAAGAAAGAAATCTAATTTGTTTCTGTAAAACATCGTATGATAGTTTGCCAATGAGCAAATCTGTACTAAGTACAATAATTTAAATGCACATAGACTTTTACTATAATTCTAAACCACTTCACAAATTTCCATAAGCCGCCAATAATACAGGCCTACCTTGTTAAGTAGAGTACATTAGTCAGTTTTTTAGCCTTGCAAACACAATTTAGATTCCTTTAAAAGGTATATGCTCCTTAAATGGCCACATGCTTTGACGTGATCCAAACAACCGCAGAACTAATAGGGAGAGACTAGACATCGCTAATGACAACACGAGAGAAGCATCCGTCAAATGGCATATCTAGCGAAAGGTACTTTTAGGCTCATATACGCACGACACTGGGAGCAGACAGTACTTAATGTGGATTATGACGAAGCACCACTGTAGCAGATCAGGGTGGCATTTTGATTTAGCCCAATTCACCAACAGAACGACAGGTGAACTTCCCCCTAACCTATGAACCCATTCTTTTCACATCTATTGGCACAGCCCTACTGTACAGAAAAAAGGATTACCTCATATAATGGTAAAGAGAGTTTCACATCATAGAACATAACTAAAGAAAAAAAAAACAAAACAAAACAAAGCTAAAAAAATTCACAAGAGTCAAGAAGAAATATTCAAAAATATCAACGGAAATAAAAAGAAGTATACATATACAAAAGTGCTTGATATTGTTGGTAACACAGCACAAAAAATTTGCTATAAAAAGGTAGAAGAACATTGTGAAGCCGCACCTTTTTTTAAGTTTTGCACCTGACTGAGGATAGCCTGCGAGGGGCTATAGAGGGGGGTCCAGCAGGCCAAGAGCAAACCCGACGCTGCCCACCCTGCGACCGCCGCGCATGCTGAGAGTTGTACAGTAATGATTCTGGCCTGTGTGACGCTAGAAAAAATGTAGCTCAGCACAGCCGTTGATCTCAAGGTATGGATGACAAAAAAACATCACGGCCCATGTGGCAGGCCAGCACACTCTGTGTGCGAGTGAGTGTGTGTGTGTGTGTGTGTGTGTTTATGGACGCAGGAACGGACCTCAGTGACTGCAAGGCTGAGGAGTTGGAATAGAGCACCAGTAAGGTATTGTATAAAACACTGTAAAAAATACAAAATGAGATGTGGCAGACCTGGCTTTGACGAGTCCTCGTTTGAAGTTTAGCATCACTTTTTTTTTTAACCTGGCTAACGGTCTAAAGGCGACCCCATCCGGTTTTGAAGTAGTAGCACCACATGAGTTGCAATGTTTTTCACCACCTTGAAGCACCATATTGTCACCTATTACAGTAGTACCTTTTATTACCTTCAGTTAGTGTATAGAAACTGTAAACAAAGAGGTATTTGTGATGTAGTGTTTTGGATTGGTTAAGACAGAGCTCCCCTGACACTGAAGAGAAAGACACCTTTTGTTGTGTTTTTTTTTTTTGCTCTCGCCAAGGCTCAGTCGTTGGAGAAGAGAAAAAAAGTGAGCGATGTAGCGGCCCAAAAACCCAGCCCAGTTACTCAACGCCAAACTCTATCTGTAACTTATGCCAGTGAAATGAACGATCTACTACTTTTCCATCATTTACTTTCTCACTTTTGTCTCTCAGTGCCTTGATAGGAGGCCCCATCTCAAGTATAGCTTGCACACATAAATCAGTTCAAATTCTGGATAACACTGCTAAAAAGTAAAATGAATTGAATAAAAAAAAAAACAATTAAATAGAATAAAAAAGAGTCAAATATTTTTTTGAAAACAAAAGAAATACCTACTTTGATGTTTATGCTGTAAATAATATACAAGGCTCTTGTTATTTCATACATCAATTTGGGTTTCTCTTCTCCTCGCTGCGTTGGGGTTCACACACAGGCGAAGTACTCTTTGAGTGGTGCAAACAAGTGGCGGATGACCGGGACGCTCCAAGAACGGCCCAGCAGCCTCTGTCTGGCCAGCCGGCTCATGTTGGACACGTCTGTGTAGTGGACAGGGAAGCCAAACACCCTGGAGTCCACAAATCAGAGAGAGAAGGACAACAACAATGACGTCTCTATATTTTTTATGTTAAACAGTCCTGCTGTGCTCACCAGTGATGCTTCAGCAACTCTCAAATTGCATGTTTTACAGTAATACTTTTCTAAGATTCATATTTCTGCCAAAACTAGATGGAAGTAAACGAGAATATGTTCTTCAAACTCAGCGATGTCTCTTTTAACTTACAAAAGTTTCTCTCAGTCATTAATTCCACAGCATCTTGCTCATAGCCAATGCTACTTTCATTATGTGTACTTAAGTAATATTTCGTTAGAAAGTCATACTGCTTAGGGTGAAGTGAGAACTAGATGTGCTATGCCTTTGTGCCAGGTTTCAAGTGTAAATAAGACACACTGGCCTTTACTCATCAAGGTTGCATTAAAAAAGAGCACAGATTTGACTGCCTTTAATAACATACAAATTTTTATGGTGTGGAAACGAGTGGAGATTTGAGCGCAAATAAGTCATCAGCTTCAGTGCGTGAAATCAAGCACAAGCCTACTAGGACCTCATGTACATGAAGCATACCTTAATTCACGCAGATTAGAGAGATCCAATAAAACGCCGGAATTTAGTGGTTTGTCAGTCAGTGGCTGTGCTCATAACACTATAGTGTTAAAATTATGATGGCTGGAAAGAATAAAATGTGAAATAAACAAAATGTCTTCATTTTTTTAAGACTGCAGAACGACGTGATTGTGTAATGTGATTATTTTCCTAAAATATAAAAAATAAAATGGCTGTGTTTTGGATTTTTTTTTTGGGCAGTGTCAGTAATATAGAACAATAAACGTGTAACGTCTTTAAATGGAACATAGAATAGTTGTAGCATTTGTTTACATCAATGTGCATGTAAAATAAGTACATCCACTTTTGTATTGGACTGCTATGTGAACAAATGATTTGTATGATTGCTGTTTTCTATTCTATTATAGATTATACTGATAGGAGTCATAAGATAGTTAACCACAAATCATGCATTTTTTCAGGCTGTTAAACTATCGCACTCAAATTTACGCAATGTGAGTTTGATTGCATAGATACGTCAAAAACGAAATTGATAACAAACTGTCTGTGTAATTTGCGAGCATTCATTTTACGATCAGATTTGACCGTTCAGAACTTTGATGAATAAGGGTCAGTATGCCCAAAAAAGCACACGTTATGTATGAAACTGGCAAACATGTTAGCTCCATGTAGCTGGAAAATGTGTTTTCCTCACTCATTTGAAACAGGATTATGCAAAAATGGGTGGGGATATTGGAAGTGTGGCTGATTACATATTTCATTCGATTTATTACAGTTTGGCAGCCGGGGTTATATTCATTTTTCTCTCATAAAACTAGATATTTATTAGCGGTAGTGCAGAATTACACACCTGTAGACTGTTTAGCAGGAATGAACTTAAAAAGACTCTTTGACCTAAATGAAAAATTTAACTACATCTACATCTCTTGTAAACATGCTTCCTCCCATCCTATAGTGGTGCTGCAGTTGCCTTGAGAGTAAGATTTCCCAGTTTAAAGAAAAGGAAACCCCCCTTCTGATGATGTATTTTGAAGGTGGGAGATAATTTTAAAAAACTATAACTGCTCTAGAGTAGACATTTCGGGGTAGGTTTTTAACAAATTTTATTAGCTGGAAAATGCAGAGAAGCACATAGCTAACATTACTGCTAGCAAGCCTATGGTAACAAACTTCTGATCATCATAACAACGGAGAGTGTTACTCTGTAATGTTCTAAATCTAAATCTTGTTCAATTTTTTCTTGTTTCTTCTTGATGATGCTTTGGAAATACTGTAACTGGATATGATCATGCTAATAAAGCTTATTAAATTGAAATTGAGAGAATGGAACAGAAATTACATGGGATTTATCAGTTGAGGAAGACATCCTGCTACAGTTATCATACCTTAATTTGACTTACCTTTCTGCCTGAAAAGGTAAAAAATCTGTCCTTGACATCCATTTTGTGTTAAGTAAAGATAAAATCATTCTTTACAATCTTGTTTGAGGCAGGCTAAGCTAGCAGTCAGGACTAGTTGACGCCATTAAGATTCCCAGTTGTTGTATAATGTATTTGAATAATACATGCTAGGTTTTGTAGTGATAGAATATGAAAACATGAAAACAAAAATATATAATATCACATTTTTTTATATTGCATATAAAATTCTGTTCTGCACATTTTCACACAGGTACAACTGCCCGTGAGCCTTAAAGAATTTTAAGTTACTCAGATTCTAGCCTCTCAACTGGCAATGATTTTTATTAGAAAAAATAATAGCATAAAATAACTGCACATGTTAAAGCCCCTAGTCCTTAAACAGGACTAACCATTAACACATGAAAATAGAAATATTGAATTCACTGTCCTGGAAAATAAGCCTTTGCCTCGTTCAGAAAACTGCTCAAAAATCTATCATTATGTGCACGATATGACAATTTTTCAGATTTCTGTTCAAATGAGGTCCTGTTCTAACATTTTATCTAGCATGCTGAGGCTTTGTTTGAACATAGTCTCATACCTCTCCATCTCAGTGCACCACAGGATGTCCTCTTTATCATTCATGTAAACAGGGAAGTGCTGGTCTTTGCCCTGCTTTATGGAATTCGACCGAGTGGTGATGGTCCTCAATTTATCAAACTGGAAAACACAGGCAAATTATTTATTGCAGTTTAGTTTTGGTGGCATATATCAGTTTGTCACTTCATCACTATATTGCAAAATCAGTCTTAGTATATTTGAGTGGCAGTTTTACCTTAGCAGTCCTGCCGTGTTCCAGACAGTCTTGAAGATCCAGTTTGTCAGAGTTCATGGCAGTCAGCGGCCTACAATGAGAAAAAACATAAACGTGACATAAAGAAAGAGAAACAGAGAAAAAGAGAGACACAGTGAGAGAGATGCACTCTATTTTCTAGTGAATAAAATTTATGAATTATGTTAAGGTACCATGCAGGACGAAAGGAGGGATAGGTTTGAGTTGCCTCCCTCATCATTCTCAAACCAACCTGTTCATGCCAGGAAGGTTACCCCAGAAGTAGCGGGCACGATGTGCAGCAGACACTTCCTTGGCATCTATCATCACAGGGTTGCACTGTTTGGAGAAATGAACAGCATGTCAATAGACATTACGTTAATAAGCTTTGACAAGTTTGACAAGGCACTGTACACTCAGTATCATCTTAAAGTTAACAGAAAATGTTCAAAGTTTTCAATTATGTATCATCTAGCAATGGCCTTGCTGGTAAGTCTGTTAATGTAAATCAAATTTTTGATTTAAAGGCCTAGGGCAGAGTATCACAGGAAAAACCACCCAAGAAGCTAACAGTTAGCCATAAATTAATATCACCCTTTCATGGCTAATGCCAATGCCAAGCACTTCTTCTCTTTGTATAAATCATTTGACACTAGATATACTGGTGTTCTTAACTTCTTAACTAGTAATGTATTTTTTCTGATTCAGTGATATGATCAAGCAGTACTGGTGCACATTTAAGGGCACAAAATAAGGCAAAAACACCGGATTCAGAACTTAAAAACACAATTTTATCTGGTCTTGTAAGCTGAAAGACAGGACTAGGGCCTGTATTTAAAAAGCTCTTCAGGGTAGAAGCGCTGACCTAGAATCAGCCTGCTTTCTTATTTAGCATGATCTTGCTGACAGAAACAGATCCCAGATCACCAAATATACTCTGAAAAGCTTTATGAATACAGGCCTATGTTTGATTCTTTTTGTCTTGTTAGTCCTGAGTTAACACTAGGTAGTAGGTCTATAAGTCTACCACTTGATGGCAGCAAAACATCATTAGACCATAGGTTGTTAGCATACACTTCATACAATTCCTCTATCACAGAATACATTTCCCAAAACACCAGTAACTATTACACTTGTGTGAGCAAATGTGAGGTTAATCCACAGTCACCAATCTGTGCTTCTGTAAATATAAGGAAAATGAAAACACACCTCTAAAAAGCGAGAGATGTCCCTCTTGTCACTGACGCCCATGGCCACTACATTCTCAAAAAGCCAAAAGAACGGCCTCTCATCTCCTTCTTTAGGACGAGCTTCATGTAAAAGCCGGTAAAACTCAAAGAACAGCCGACCAGTGCCCTCTGAGTGTGATTGAGAATGTGTGTGTGTGCAAAAGAGAAAGTGAGGGAGAGATAAAAAAAGAGTGCACACAGTCATATCCCTTAATACAAACAATGGCATCTTACAGTGCAGTGCAAAGTCATGACCCACATCAAAGTACAAACTAGCAACATGCCAAACTAGTAACGAGCTAATACTACTACTACTACTACTAATAATAATAATAATAATAATAAATAAACAGGAAAAAAACGAAAATAAAATAAACACTGCAGGCAATTTTGCATGCAATCACATTTTACCATAGAGACCTTTCCGTGCTGGATTAACTATGGACAGATCATTACAAGGGCTTCCACCTATGACAAGATCAAAAGGCCCCCACTCTTGTATCTGTGGAAAAAGAAAGCGAGAGACAGAGACAGAGAGACAGAGACAGAGAGAGAGAGAGAGAGAGAGAGAGAGACAAAGAGACAGAGAGAGAGGGGGGGGCAGTAAATCAATAAATCAAATATTAAAAAATGGTATAGACATTTCAATAACCAATACTCTAATCACACTCTTTCTTTGTTAAGTGGGGAAACAAAGTTTGTTTATCTAGGTAAATGCTAGCTAGTCACCAGTAGCACACACATGCAGTTGCCAGGTCTGTACATTATGACAATAACAAGCCTTTTTGGAGCAGGTTAGTCACAATATCTAGTCATTTCCTTTGGTGCTGCTGACATTTAATTACCCACAGTTTACACACACAGGCTAGCTAGCATGCTCTTAGTTATAGCTGTATTTATCACTGAGAACAAATGAAAAAGTGTGCTGGCAAGCAAGCTCCCCTGAGTAGTACGAAAACTGCACTGGGCATTAAGACCACCATGGCTGGAGTTTGGTGAGTACTCTAGTAGAAAGCAGTGTTTGAGCAGTTTAAAACCATGATCATGTACAATCTGAAATTGCATTTTTCAGGAAGATGGTAAAAAGATTGGTGGTTAAAAGTGAATGAACGTGAATGAATTTAAATTTTTTCAGTATATGGCACATGCTTACAGAGACAGTCAGAAAGGCCGTCTAATTATGTTTCAGATAAAAATTAATGCAGTGTTAGGGGTCTTTCTTTTAGGAGCAGGCTAAAATGCTTGCATCTCTACCAGAGCAGGGAACTGAACCCGTTACCCCCAAATAGAACTAGGGCATTGATCACTACACTAAGTACAAGGCATATGTAAGACACAGGCCTGTGCCCAGTGACATACAATCAAGTTAGCATATTAACATCCCCCTGTGACAGTAAAAGCTCATTTACTGTCAGTTAAAATAATAATTGATTTATTTCATGCAAACCATAGCAAGACAGCAGTATTCCTATATGTAAACGTAACTGGCTGAACTCGCTGTGTGCTGAACTAATATTCCCACATGTAAACAATAACTGGTTGAACTCGCTGTGTGCGGATATCATTATATCATGTCTGTACAAAAAGGTTTTAGGACATCCTCACACCATAGCGTCAGATTTCAGACCAAAAAATGACTTTGGTCTAGGGAAAAAGTGAAACATTTCAGTTTTCAATCATTAGGCTTAATGAGTCATTTGCAATTTTGCTCATTCTTACTAGATTAATTACAGTTTTGTGGCCAAATTAAAAATGACAACATACTATAACCAACCCCCCCAACCCAAATAAAAATGTTTAACCATCTACCAAGGTTATTTTTCAAATAATTATCCAAATAACAGGACTCTTGTTACAGGCCTTGTAAGACATATGTAACGCATCTGCAAAAGGTCCACATTCCATGCCATCCACATACCATATCATGCAAAAGTTTGATTAAGTTTGGCTTTCATTCAATTATTGAGGGGAATCAATTTTCTTAGAGAATACAAAAGATAATATTTGACAGAATATAAAAAAATAAATGATTTGATACTTGCAGCACTACAAAAAATGTACTTGCATATTGTTGCTGTATCAAAACCCTACATTTCCAAAATGGTAAGACAGAAAAACCTTATAGTAACATATATTAAAATAACTTTTATGTAATGTATGTTAATGTAACGATATATTGTATATTATATTGTGAGATTATATTGCAAGTAATTTTGGACCATTTCTATTGTTCAAACCATCCCTAAACATTTGAAGAATCAAAAAGGGCGACCAGTATTTTCAAACAGTGTAAAAAAAAACAATCAAACAAAAGGACAAAAAAAAACAGAGTTGTGAGATTTTGAAATGACGACAACCATATACAGTAGAGCCACTCAGTTGATTCAGAAGTGAATATCCAGCAAGTTAACTTACATGTTTGTGCGTGACATTCCTCACGTCGCCAACATACATGATGCGCCCGTGATGTCTCACAATACCCACAGTGATGGAATCCTCACACACCTCAGATGCCACATAGCGCTCCACCTGAATGCCCAATTCCTTCAGCACCAGCAGCCCTACACAGACACACCCATGTGCATGTAAACATATATGTATACTTTGAGAGCACAGCTTCCCAAAACCATTGAGGTGACTGGTAGCATTACAGTAATACCTAGGGTGTTTTATAGTATATCTTGTCACATGTTTGTCAGGGTAGTTTTACATGTAAAGCAGAGCCCAATCGTATTAAATGAAGCACTTCTGTGTGTAGATGTCATAATGACTTTAAGGACAAGTAACACATGTCATCAGACTATAAGAACCATACTGTGAGAAACCCATTCCTTACGTATATTGTTTCCTAATGCTGAACATGATCCTTTGGAAAAATGCAATAAAATGTGAACCTTAACAGTCCTGTCAATGGGCAACCTCCATATTCCATTTACACTGAGCTCTAAAAGCTTGAATGGCTGTAATGTGATCAGTTCTGCGAAGACATTTTTGCTGAGAGCATGAAAACAAGAGGGTGGGGATTCTTCTAACCTGTGGCGATGCCGTCAAAGAGCGATAGGACACGAATGGGTTTTCTCTTCTCTGCCAAAACTGGAGGATATAGCTTTGGAGGTTCCTGAGAGAAAACAGAGTGAGAGCAAAAGACAGGGGAGAGACAGACAGAGAGAGAGACAGAAGTCAGTAATGAAAGAGCACCTGTTTGTACATATTTACTGAACGTAATAAAAGAGCCCTGCAAAGTAAGCCACTTCAATGACAAGGCTCCATTGTTAAGTGTCTACACTGGTAAAGGCGAAGTGGTCAGCTTTTTTTAACCATAAATTTGTGATAATGTAAAATACACCATTGAATAGTCCAGCCTACACCACTGCAGTGCAGGCAGACCTTAAAACATTCCCTAAAGGTCCATAAAGAAGTGTTCCCTTAACCTCATGGGTGGTACTCCAGCCACCACATGTTAATCCTGTTAGCAGAGGTTCTTGTTTGCCAAGACAGTATGTTGTTTAGGCTTGCCTTCTAATGCGCTGCGTGCCATGAACTGACAACTATTCGGCATTTCTTCTCACTCACTGGCTGTCATCCCAACACACTCCTACTTTTTCACACTGTCCAAATATTGAGAAGCTACCATATTACATAATACAGTTCTCAGGGACCCCCTTGTCATGGATTTGTGTGTAATTTATTAAATGCCACATTTTCTACCAAAGACAACGCAGAAAGCTGTGCTGTAATGGTCCTTAGCAATTACCATGATACATTTTTAATGTGAAAGCTTGTGTTGTTGGCCATGCGCCACTTACAAAGTCTTGGTCATGGTTGTTGGCAAAGAAGTGCTGCAGGCGGCTGGGCCAATCGGCCCGGCGCTCCAGCAGTCCGTACTGGGGCTTCTGGCCACACATGTAGCAGTTCCACGGGTCCTCTTTTATAGCTGCCTGCGCTGCCCCTGGCCCCACCAGCAGATCCACACACTCCACACAGAAACACCTGCACACAGCACAGTCATCTAAGCTAATACATACTGACAAAGCTATTTAGTCTAGGACACATTGTAGTGGACTTGCAGTATCCATTATAACAGCAGCACTGCGTTAGTAGCTTAATGTTAATATCAAATGTTTTGTATTAACTACTTTATAAAAAGCAAGATATTCTACAACACATGATTTAAAAAAAAGGAAACAGAATTATATATTTAATCCACTGGATCATACTCAAACCAGTACAAAATGCCTTTAAACTGGTCATTTAATGTAATCGATTTGTGAAACACCTAATTTGCATAATTTTCCTCAAAATGTCAATCAGCTAAGACATGTTTAGGCAAAAGAAGAGCTTAACTATGCAAAATATTTTGGTCCATTTATATAGATAATAGTATGTCATACCGAGGGCCTGATAAAAATTAATATCAAATTCATAAAAACTTTATAATATTAGCCTTGTGAGGCCAGCAAAATGGTGCTAAATGTCTCACATTTATCATAATATTTATCATAATCAACAAATTTTTCATCATAATTTGTATAGGTCTGTTCAAAATTTATGTTTCACCTTAAAAGGGGGCACATGAATGTCACTGTTGCACCATTAAAGTTGGAACTGTAATTTTGAATAAGATCCATTTCAGCTTTGTTGAATTTCTCCCAAGCGTTCCCATATACCTGTGCCTCTGACTGCCAGACATTGCTGGAATTTAGAAACTCTTACAGTCATTCACGCTTCAGTATGCATCTGTCAGTGGCTTCTTGCACACAGCTGACCAAGTCAGGCACCTTCTCATGCAGTATGAGAGAAAGCATGGCAATTGGTCTGGTGTTCATGTTAGGCCAAGGGTAACTCCAAAAAACTGTCCATTCCTATATGTATGCTGCCTTGAAAAACAAAGTGGACTGCTTCAAATGCAACTGACTAAACAGTGAGAGGTGAGGATCTGCTTTCATTTTACTTTTAAAAGATCCGGTAATAGTGGCATACCAGTATAATGGTTATAACTCATACATAAATAAGAATTTAAGCTGCCTAACACTAGCCTGATGTACTAACCCTTTTGCACATTTTTTACGACACAAATCTGACACATTCTGACATCTGCATGAATCTAAACATATGGGCTGTGTGGAAAAATGTGGAAAAATGCAAAATGTACTTTTCTTCCTCATGCGTGTTTTATTACATGACCATAAAAGCAGAAGTGTGGAAAAATGCAAAAGGCACTTTTCTTCCTTATGCATATCTATTTGAGGGAGGATTGCGTAAAAATGTGGGGGGATCGCACAAAAATGGGTGGAGACATTATATGTGTGGCATATTTACATATTCCACTTGATTTACTAATTTTTAAGCAGTTCGCTGCAGTAGCTTTTTTGCATCGATTTTCCTCCATTTTTACCTTTTAAAATCAGGCATAAATTATTTGCTTGTTAAGAGACGTTGTTAACAATGGCAGCAGACAACGCAGCTACAGCGAGGCACAACCCTCACATATATGCTTAAAGACTGTTTAACACAAGAAAAACACTGTTTGAAGTGTTCAGGACCAGAGAAGATGCAGTGCAAAATATACCAGTGTGGTCTGTGTTACTGTTTCACAAACTCTATTTTTTCAGCTGGAGTGAAATAGCACCCCCATAGAATGTTTTGGTGCGGGAAAAAAACTTTTTTTTTAATATATATTAACATTGCCGTCTCTTCCATAACTTAAATTACATTTCTGTTTTGTCTCAATCTTGCTGACGGCCCCATTATTTCACTGTGCCTTTTAAACCCTGCACCCTAGTTTGTGTGATAAGCTACAGCCTTAGAAAATCTGAAGTTAATTTCATATGTATTGTTGGCACATGCTGAGCTTGCCCAAGCTTTCCTGAGCCTGTGCACATACAGCACTATCCAAAGTTTTAGGAACCTGTTAAAATTATATTTAAAAAGTTTTTTTTTGGTCAGTAAGCTTTTACTTGCTCAGAACAACATTTACATTACAATAATTCACATTATTGTCAATGCGTTCATTTAACTATTTCCAACCTTATTTTCATGGCAGCCTGGTACTGTTTGCAGTTACCACCTAATAACTGTTTTCACTAACAGATTCATTACATTTAATCAAGTGTGCTGGTGATGGAATTTAATAAAAACATGCTATGGCTGGGAGTTCTGAGGATAAATCTGGAGCCAAACTTACTTTCTGGAAATCTGGTTACTTTTTACTGTATTTATATATTTTTGTATTTATTCTAATGTTACACAGTTTTTCACTGGCAAAAACAGTTACTGCAGAGATACATGGGTTTAAACAATTTGCTTGCCTAAGGCAATTTGAGATTACTTAGCTTGGCATGATCATGAAGGCAGGCAGTCTGCAGGCTGCTAATTCAAGGACCCACGTTTTTGTTACTTGTTAGCTTGCACATTTTAGACCCATTTGGGGTCAAAATGTGGGATAAACTGTGCCAATCTGAATTTTCACCAGACTACAACATGAATTTTAACATGAATTTAGCAGTGGATGATGTTGTACCTGCAGCAGTTGTTGTTTCCACACATGAGGACCTCCCTCCCTCCACAGCAGATAGTGCAGTAGGACTGGTAACCGTCGTCATCATACTGGTACGCACATTCAAGGAAGCAGTTCTGTAACACAGCGCCATTCTGTTCTAGTGAAAAAGCTCATGCTGGTAGGAGAACGCTCAGATGATTCACAAACTTATGGCCAGTTGCCTGGTTTATTACATGACCATAAAAGCAAAAGTGTTTATGTGATATAATCATGTCATAAACAGTTCCATATCAACTGTTTGTTTCGTGGACAGTGATTTCGTCTGCATGCTACCGTACAAAACATTCTAGATGCACTAGCTAAAATTTGATGAAACATAAGCAACCCAATGTGAAATAGTTTGATGATAGCCACACTGAATTTTAAAAAATTAATTCATAGAGTCAATCAATCTATACTGGGCTCACAAGTACCTTACAGCTTTGGCACATTCCTCCAATGAAAAGTGGGTGCTCAAGGGAAACATTCAGTGTTCCACAAGAGATGCAGATGTCTACAGGAAAACAGGCAGAAATCAGGGTCAGTGAGACTCACATGTTCATGGGACACTAATAACAAGACTCATTACTAGGGATGCATCAATACCATTTTTTTCAGGCCAAGTATGAATACAAGTACATATTTTTCAGTACTCGCATCAAGTCTGATACCGTGTAAATGGGTGCAATGTAACAGTTGCATCATTAAAATCCCGCTGATTTTAAATGACATGTATTAGATAGCTATGCCACATTATTTACCTTGGATCGTGTAGCAATCGATTGACGCAGTGGAGAAAAGATGATTTTGTTCCACATCAGAAAAGCACTTGTGTACAGCTTTAAATTAAGTAGGTTACGTTTTATGGTTATAACCCTCATCTGTCTCTTTCAACAACAGTCTACGTAGCACAGTGACAGCAGGAATGACATCTGAGGCAAATGCATCCGAGAAGCTCATGTTTCCAGTTGTTAAGTCTTTTTAGCTGGTTAAGCTGTAGTTGAATGTCCTCCTAAGCCAGACATACAGTGTATGATTTTAGAAATGCTGTTTGGATGACTCACACTGCAAAAACGCTCAGTCCATGCTATGTGAGATGCAGCCTCTACAAACAGCTCTGCCTACGGACAATTTCAAATAAAGCTATAGTTTCATTCAAAATAACACACTTTAATACAACTGTAACAAACATGTTGCTCGGCTAACCACACTGTGCACTGAAATATACAAGGTAGGACAATATTCTCTACAGCCTATTTCACAAAGACAGTTTTAAAAAATCACCATATTAACGTTTATGCCTTGCGATTATATTCAGTCAAACAGAGTAAAGTCGCATACACAAACTTTGTTAGCAAATGTCAACTTTGTCCCGCATCTGCTTAGCGGGACTATGTGTCTCTGCCCGTATTAGAGAAGTGGTTGTGGCTATGTTTGTGGCTGTGTTTGTGAGTGTTCAGTAACAAGCTAAAATCGCACAGTATATTCCCAGTGGGAAAATACCAAGGCAGAATGTTTAAAGTGATCAACGACTTTGTGTCCAATCAAGATGTAGTCAGTGCCTCTGTGTGAGCAGACCCTCGGTCCAGTGACCGTATCGGTATCGGTATCAATGCATCCCTACTCATTACAAGTGGAGACTATTGTAAATACCTTCGATGTTCCTGCACTTCTGTCGCACTTCGTAGACAAGCCTCTCTGAAAAAAAAATTAGACAAGAAGGTGATTAGGGCTAGCTGACTCTTCCTGTAATTCCCCATATGACGTTTAGCATGTAGTGTTTACCCTGGAGAGCTTAGCAGATGAAGCTGATAATCCTGATTAGAAAAGAGTGTTAGTGTTTATGTAGGTGTGAACTCAGTGAACTCCTTGACCCTGTGTGGCTCAGTGAGAGTGGTGTCTCACCTCGAGTTCTCTCGTCAACGATGTCTTTGACCTTGGGTTTCTCTGCGCTCGTGCTTTTGCGGGGCTTTTTTGCGGGCGGGGGCATGTAGGCTGCAGCTTCGGGCTCCACCCACATCTCAGGGTACACTTCCTTATATGGGTTGCGCTCCTCTGAGAAAGGCCCAGTCAGCAAAATCAGACAAAATAGGCTAAAGGATCATATGCTGAACTACAGATTAGTCTATGAATCAGTCTGTCACTGAGTAATGGCTTTAAACCAGGGGCGCTTATTTCTAGGAAAGCCGGTGTGTACACAGGCTTTCAGTGTAAACCTTTTCATTAGCGTGTACATCAAAAAAAGCAGACAAAAGAAAAGCCACCAACTATGAAGATCCCTAAATTAATTCAACTGTGTTACAGAAACCATGACAAAACCAACCATGCTTAGGGTTATTAAATTCCCTTTGTCAGGCAAGGTGACTTCATTTCCACAGGTATGTTTTTCACTTGTACAGACATGTGTTTTCACCACATGGTTCCCATAATCCATTTAAAAAAGAGAAGGTGGTTGTTGTCTTTACCTTCAGGTGGCTCTAGGCCCTTGGGGCCAGTGGGTTGGAATCCTGTCATGGCCCACTCAATCATCTGCTTGTTCTGCATGTCCACCGACTTAGAGGTGTCAGTGTCGTCACTCTCAGGGCACGTGAGGAACACTTTTCCTGCTCTACTGCTGGCTACCTGTGAAGCCACAATTAGCAACATTGGTGAGTCTGGTACAGTTTGAAAAAAAAGTGTCCCATGTGATCTAGCAGAGGGGTGTCTAATCTGCAAAGTGTGGTGGCTGCAGGTTTTAATTTCAAACAAGCAGGAGCACATGTGATTCCACTCAATAAATCAGTTGGTCTGAGTCTTCAGAGCGGAATGAGAACCTGCAGCCACAGTGGCCCTTCAGGGATAAAATTTGAAGCAGTTGGTGTAGTATAGAGCGTAATACCGCTGCCCTCTACACAGCAGACTGGCATTTAATTCTCCATCTGGGCAAGCACACCATGCTACACCAATAAGTGTCCTTGGACAAGACTCCTAACACTACATTCACCTACATCTATAACATGATCAAACTGTAAGTCTGCAAAATGTGTAAATGTAAATAACAAATTTTCAGTGGACAGCTGGCAGCAATCAACAATAAAAACCGCTAAATAAGGTCTCACTTATGATTCTGTATTTACTTGGAGTTTACAGCCATACCTGTAGCACCTCGTAGATGGCTTTCTTGTACATTGGCTGTTTGTTGTAAGTTGGCTGGTGAAAGGCATTGTGGAAGGAACTCAAAGGCAATAGTTTCTCAACACAGACCTGGAGGGGAAGTGACAGTTACAGCACTAAATTAAATCAGAGAAATACATTTACCTTTTACATATTCATAAAATATCAGTAACCAACACAATTTGAATACAAATCTTGCAATGTTTTTGGAAAAACCTACCACGGAGAACTTGCTGTCGCCAAACCACTTGACCCATCTTGTTCCCTCAGCAGCTCGGCTTCGTCCTGTCATCCACCAGGAGACAATGCGTCCAGGCCACCAAGAGAAGCCACGCAGTTTCCCCCAAACCAGCTCGCCAATTCCAAAGCCTCGACCATCCTGCAGCAAGTGAACAGATCTTAAGATATAGTCCATACACACAATCTCACAGTGTTCTACACAGCTGGGCTGTGCTTTAGCATTGTGTTTAATGTAGGGGTGGGGTGAAAAATCGATTCTTAGATGCATCGCGACGTGGACGTGAATGATTCTGAATCGATTCACAAATGTCAAAAATCGATTTTCTAAATTTTAATTTATATATCAACATAATGTTGATGGAACGCAAAAGGCGGAACTTGGAAGTGTGGAAGTGCAGCGCCCGGAAACTCTGTGATGGCACATAACAAAAACACAAATGGATGAGCGAGAAATCTGACCGGCAGCCTCTGCATTAAAAGCTAGGTGAGCTCAAGATTCAACAACCCAGATGTTAAGAAGAGCCATTTTGTCCTTTCAACAAAAATCAAACCACCTTGGGAGCCACAACAGTTTATGTTCAATATGTCTCAGTATGTGATAATGTCCTAGTATAGGCTAAAAATATAAACGAAAACGCAGATTTACTTCGCTCTGCTTTAAGCTTTAGCTATAGCCGCTTTCCTCTCATCTCCGCCAGAAAACTTTTTTTCAAAAGTTCAATAGTTTCTTGTAAAAAGTCTCTCAACGTTCGACTGTTTTACGAGGCTGAAGTCGCTTCTCATTCGCCAGCATCTTGTTCCAAATTTCCTGTTAAATTCTGACTGAGGCACCGAATGTAAATGCGGCACCATTTAAGGTGGAACGGGACAATTCGAAAGAGAAGCTGACTTCAGCTTCGCAACTTTTTAGTGTTTGACAGTCTCTCGTTGCAGATTTAACGCATCAGGAAACCAACTGCAGTGCTTATAAAGTCCATTCATTTCCAAATGTTCATCTTAAATCTCTCTCTTTGCCTTTTCGTTAGCTACTAGCTTGGCGAGACTGCGTTGCTATGTGACCTGCAGTCTGCACGCCAGTTCTCAGTCATTGAGAACCAGGGCTTTCAGGCTATGTTGCACACGTCCCATCTCGAAGATATTTTACTGATACAGCAACCCCCGCTCTCTACAACGAGACCAAAACCGAAGTTAAAAAATCACTAAAGAAAACGGGTAGGACGGATGTAACATGTGCTGCGTGGACACCCATTACCACTGGATCTTATTTCACCGTAACAGCGCATTTTATCACAGATGAGTGGCAGCCTGAGTCTCATGTGCGCCAAACAAGAGCAGTGAATGAGAGCCTTCTAGTTCACTTACCACATCACTTCCATTTGTTTTATTAATAAAAGATATAGGAAGTAAATTCATTATGGATTATTACAAATACTTTGCTTTAAAAGTACAAAGTCCTCACACAGTGAGAAAATAGAAATCTTGTATAGAAAAAAAAGATGCATCAAGATACACTGATAATCGTTTTATATTCGCATCGCAGCCCTCTGAATCGTAATCGAATCGAGAGGTGCCTAGAGATTCCCACCCCTACTTTAATGTAATGCTAAGTGCTCCACTGTTTTCCTCACAAGAGCTCCAACACCTTATAACATCTAACAGGGCTGTTTCTGATTTCTATTAAATAAAAAAAACACATAACAGAAAGCCATATGTCAAGAGATTGTGGCGACAACACAAGTCACCACTCTAATCCATCACATTAAGCACTGACAGACCGATCACAGCCGTTACATTCTATTCCAAAATTAGACACTGCAGTTCACAGTCATGCTTCACTTTCTAATTATTTCTACATTACCACAATACCAACAAGACTGTTATTTTTGCATGTCGGTAAATAGAGGTGTCATTCCAGCTAAGGGGGCACATGCTCCTTCATTTGTTTTAGATATTGACCCATATTTATGAAGCACCATAGAGTAAGAATGCTGATCAGGATCAAGATTAGTCAATGTTGTCCTATTCAGCATTATGTAAAGGGTATAAACTGATCTCAGATCAGCATTCTTACTCTGAGAAGTTTGATCAAGATGAGTCCTGTTGTTTGAAGTAATTTAGATTATTGTGTTGCTTTGCACAAAATACCATCCCTTCTACACAGCTACTGAATTTGTCTACCTCCATAAATATGACACAGAGCACGAAAACTCCCAAAAGCCTTCCATATATGACAAAACAGAAGCTCTACTAGCTATACTTTCTCAGTTGCATTGTCAAGCAGAACCAAGGCAGATATTTGTCAGGCAGGCTAATTTATCTTAAAAAGCACACCATGACTCAGCTGGATAGAGGTGGTCTATTAGTTTCAATTTAGGAATCTCAAGCTAAAGTGATGTCAGGTTAGCACTGCTGCTATTGTTTACATCATTATATAGTTTTTATCACTATCTTTATCATTATCTTTGTGGTCTGTGTGCAACCACATTGTGTATGCTGCTGTCCTTGCGAGGTCTCTTTTTAAAGCAATAAATAAATATTATAATAAAACCTTGTTTTGGCTGTAACGTTTGCTAGCAATACATGATGAGTTCTGTCAATATTATAAGTATCACCACAATTAGATATGTGATGCCCTTTTCTATCAGTACCTCATACTCGGCCTCTGTGTCAGAGCACTTGGGAGAAGTCTTGTCTCCATCCCCTATAGGCACTGGCTCTGGGGTAGTGGCCACTGTTGGGGAAGCAGGATCCGTAGGCTGCTGTTGTTGTTGCTGCTGAGGTGGAGGTTGCTGCTGAGGAGGGGGTTGTGGTTGTGGTTGAGGTTGGGCTTTGGGAAGAGCCTGAGGCTGGGCTAGTTGTTGCTGTTGTTGTGGTGGTGCAGGGGTCAGTGGACTGCTGATGGTGCCGCTGGCTTTCTGAGGCTCGGCCTCCACCTCTCCGTGCTCCTCCATCGAGTTCATCCCGGAAACCTGCTTGGCCTTTTTCTCCGCCTATGGGACAGGAAAAGTAGAGAGAGAAGAGAGAGAGAGAAAGAGAGTAGTGGTGAAGCACAGTTAGAGGGAGCGGACTCACAACTTCCTGAAAACGGCGCAGCTCCAGGACTTCAGCAAAGATAATTATTCACTTTGTTTACAGTACGGTAATCCCATGTTCCAAAGTAAATATTTCCAGTCCCTCTTGATAAAGAGTCAGCAACTCCCATTCAAGGAGTGAGGAGGGTCAAAGAAGCATTAAAAAATTGTGGAAATAGCGCTCCATGCTCCTGTAAAGTGAAAGGCGTTCGCGGCAACTTTGAAGCTGCGAGTTTTTCCGCTGTGGCTGAGGTGCACGGAGAACAGCACGCTGCAGAGTTCATTGAGTTTGCCGAACCTGACTCTAAGCCATTAGGTCAACAACAGAGGACACGGGCCAAGCCGTGACTTAAGCTGCTCACAGAAAATCCCCAACAGCTGCACACATTCTGCAACCTCTCTCACTCTCACTCTCTCTCTCACTCTCACTCTCTCTGTCTCTCTCTCTCTCTCTCTCTCTCTCTAGCTCACTCACTCACTCACACGTGAATCTCTTTCACAGCTGTACTCCCTCTACTGCTGGCGTCCAACTCCGTCTCAGATTTCACTCAACACACGTGAACCTGGCCGAGACCAGTACGTAGGGAGAAGGGAAAAAAGACTGTGACCGTCCCCTTAAAAACTTTTCTGTTTTTTGTATCTCTCTCTTTCTCTCTCTCTCCCTCTCTCTCACTTGCTCACTCACTACATATCCACACTCGCACAGGCCCACAAGAGGGAGCGGAGCCCAGGAGCACTGAGTGTATGTGTGTGAGAGAGGGAAGGGGTGATGATGTGGAATAGAAACATGTGGCCTCCAATCATTGAGCTCCACTGTAGTTTATAAATATCTATAGCTTCAATGGCTGGTTCAAAGCACTAAGCCATATGTTCTATACTGTTTGACTCTGGCAGCCACTCAACAGAGGCAGTGAGTTATTGAGTTTATGAGAGTGTCTTTGTCTGTGCATCTGTAAGTGTGTTTGCACTGCATGCCTCATACCACCTTAGCCTGAAGTTACTTTACTGCACTTTTGGAGCAGAACAGACATACATGAATGCATCAGAAAATAATTTGCAGTCTAAGCCTTTATCTCAGCCAAATATTTGCCGGGGCTCCCTTTGCTGACTGAGCCTCCTAGGCATGCATCTTGATTGTTCCCAATGTACACAATTTACAGTCAGAACAATGAAACAGGCAGAATCAGGAGGGAATAAAGAAGGTAAAGAGAGCTGCCCTTGGCCTAGAAACAGAAAAAAGGAAGTCAAACATCTGGAAAATACAGTTTCACTTCAGAAGGGCCAAGATTAAAGCCTGTCAAAATTCAATGTAATTAATATGATTCTGCCTTTTTAGGAATCAAAAAATGTAACTGTAACCATAATGGTTAGGATACTGGTAAGGAAGCATGTACTGTATTTTGAAATGAAGTGGAAGGAGGAATCTCATCTTGCCTACTTTCTCCAGAGGGGGACAGGAAGGGGTTATTTATCTAGAAAATCAATAGAAAACTGACTCTCCCAAAAACGCCGGGAGAGGGGTGGAGGGGAGGAGAGCGGGACGACTATAAGAAGTCGAGGTTTGTTTCTGGACTTTTTCCCAGTTGTAAATGCCCCTTTTCGGGGGCCTCACTGCAGAGAGAGCCTGACACTCCAAATCACGGGAGAGGAGGGGGAGGAGGGGTGGAGCGGGGAGGCTTCTGGAAGTACAGTACAGTACAGTCTTTATCAGTTACACACGCACACACACCACTGACAGCCTCGACAAGATCAACACATATGTGCCACAGGTCGTACACAAGACAGAGAGCAAGCTAAAAACACTGCAGAACCCACTCTATCACAGAATTGGCATGTGCTAGGGAGGCTCAACCTATGTAATTTCAAACTTACTAAACAGTTTGAAGACAGCAATAACAAAAGGATGTTGTGCTTTTCTGTTATTAGTCACTAAGGATTCTACACTTTCAATCGATTGCACATTTATGTCTGTATGTAGAACAGGATTTTTTAATTTGATGAAAATTTTTTTGTTGTTGCTTAAAATAGTAAGAAAGAAGAAGTCTTAAGTGTTGAATCAAACTTTTTCATGAAAATGGTAAATTAAATGTAAAGCTAATTCCTTGCATACCAATGTCATGAGCTATGTATTCATGTAACTGTGTTTAAATTAAAGAGAAAAACAACAACAGTAACTCTCGACTTGTAAGGGTTAACAGAAGAAGAAAGCGTTACAGGACGGTTGGTGGGAGAGCTATGAAAACAACTGAGAAATAACAATACTTTTCTGCACTGCGCTCGAACAGAAGAAGGAGACTCGCCGAAACCATAACTAGAGAGGTTAAAGAGGTCTCCTGTCTCTATGTGCCCATCGGCCAGTAGCAGAGATGAAAGGCCCAAGAAAGTAAGAGGAGCAACCGGTTCTGATAATGGCGCAAAGTCTGCTCTCTGGATGAAGAGAACATCCCTCAGGCAATACTCCACACACATACAGGCACTGAAGGTTGGTTCTGACAGAGGCCCATCACTGTAATTTCACAGTGGCCAGCACTAACAGGTCCAAGGATTCTAGTAGTAACAGAAGAAGGAAAAAAGCACATGCAGTGAGATTAATCTTTTTCCAAATGCATTGTGAACTCCACTGTTCATGCCACATGCGACTTGTACTAGAACATTATAATACAACGAGATTACAGCACGTCTTGGATACTGATTGTCCGCTGATTAATGTCTGACATGCTCGTGGTCTAAACAAAATGAGCAGCACAGCAAGCCTTCTTCTGCAAATGCTGCTTCTTTTTAAAAGCAAAGTCTGCTTTGATAAAGCATATCTGAGATAAAATACCTAGAAACCTTTCTCTCCTGTGGTGTAGGTGTAAGTCCATTATCAGCTAGTGATCTTTTCTATAAATGTCTGCCCCTAACCACTCTTAATTACATAAAATTGGACCTATTGTGCAATCACCCACTAAACAATAATGGTCATCCGAGCCTTTGTTGGGACAGTGCAAGGACATATAAGATATGCGCCCTCCATGAGTGATTATCATGAATTAAAACTAGACACAGGTTTTTAAGATGACAAGATTAGTGCATAACAGGCCAAGCATGACCACGCACGCCAAAGAGTTTATCCGTGTTAAAAGAACAATACAATACGAGGAAGGCCCCCTTGACAGATTCTAGCAGCGTAAAATTGAAATGTGACATTCCTGCAGTTCGGGTGTATGAATGGCCATCATCGCCGTGTGACAATCGCATTTATTTTGTCGTGACCTTTTTGAGAGGCTGAACAAAGCCCTCTCACTTCTTAGCCTCTGGAGAGCACAGGATGGAGGATGCATCTGGCCTCTATTGTGTAAGGTCCTTTAAAGTGCTACAGCAATTAGAAGCTTTACAGAGGTCAGCCAATGCAAAAATGAGTCCAAATGCAGCCCTAATAAAGAGGCCCTTTCAAACACGCTCTCTCATTTTCCCTGCTCCTATCGTTCAAAGAAATCAGCTTCCTCTTCAAAGGCTTGTCATTTCCCTGATAACTGTGGATTAATTGGCAAAAGATTAGGCTTAAAAATACTGGAGGAGCGCTAAAAGCCTGGCCACGTTTGTGGCTGTAGCCTTGACCCACAGCTCGAGCTCCAGCAGCGTGCAGCGCGCATACGCCATTCGGGTTCACTCGGTTCATTCTCGCCATTTGCATATTCTTAAAAAGACAGGCACCACATTTCCGTTTCGACGCAAGCCAGGACGAAAGCCAATATTTACATGCTTATAACGTTTCGTCCCGGAACCCAGAGCTAGAGATAAGCCTATCAGCATTGCTTAAATCCACAACAACAACAATAAAAGCACTATTTTCTTGCAAAAAACTACTGTCTGTATTACTTAGCTTAAGGATAAACACATCAGTTCTTGCAGCTTTTGCTTCACACAAACACCAGAACATGCACTGTCAAGCAACAGTGCTAAAAAACATAAAACAGCAACTTCAAAATAGTTTGTAGGAAAAAAGGAGTAAAGAAACTGCAGCAGAGACACTAAAACAGGAAATACTTTGAGCATGCAGCAATCCCCTGAAATAACATACAGTCAAGCAAAACTACTTTTTTTCCTGTGGGCTCCGGCGAACGCCTGTGCTCCCTCCTCTCCGGGGTTTGAAAGAGACGGGTTTCCTTTAAGCCGCCCGAAGCAGATGGTCCGTAACAAGTCTCTTGGAAATACCTGAAGTCAGCATAATTCCTTCGTCCAGCAAAGCCTACTCAGACGTGCACACCGTCCCCCTGCGCTATCAACAACAAACAACACAGCCGACCTTACCCACACACGCCTGCGCTCGGCACTTTAAATCCAACGTGTGACTCTCCGTTTTTTTCCTTGCCCCCACTCTCGGGTTAGAGGAGTCCGCTCCAAAAAAAAAAAAAGAAAAAGAAAAAAAAGAGAAAGGGAAAAAAATAGAAAGCATGAACATTTCTTTGTCTGGGAATTCAGGGTCAGGTGGTTGTCGACAGGAATTCTGGTTGGCTAGAGAGGACTTGCAAAATGTTGGCAGGCAGCCAGGAGGGCTGCCTTGCAAGCAACGCTGGAAACTTGCTGCAAACCTCATCTTCACCCTCATATCCATAGCACTGAGTTAATTTCCATAGCTGAGAGGAGGGAGGAGGAGGAGTGGAGAGGGAAAAGAGGAGGAGGGGGGTCGGGAGAGAGGAATCGACAGTAATGCTGGGCACTTATAAAAAAAAAAAAAAGATCCTCTTCTCTCGCAAAGCGAAAGCAAGGCAGTGTTTTAATCCATTACATGCTACCCATTTTAAATCACCTCTACCAGTTGAACAAAGCTTAAAGTTTAAAGTCCAATACACGCAACTCTTCACCTTCTGTGAAAAGGAAGTACCTTAAGATTCCCAGTCCAGCATTGTTTCTTACTGAATTGTTTAGAGCTTGGTGGTGTGCAGAGAATGAAAATCTGGAGCTATCTTAGGACAACAGAGTAAACAATGTGTTAAAATATGGGTTCTTCCACAAAATGCTTATTCAGAGAGAAGGAGGGGACATTCTCTGACTTCTTTGACTCAGAACAGAGAATTCCAGCTACATGTGGACGGCTGTTCTGCTGGAATTTTACGATGTTCACTCACGAGACAACTGCGTATCCTGCTAATTTGGCAATATTTCCAGCCCCTCTGACACTTTCATGGCTTCTCACCAATCCTGCTTGGGCAGGGAGCAGGAGAAAGGACTGAAGAGGGGTAAAGGAGGGCAAGTGTGTGTGTGTGTGTGTGTGTGTGAGTGAGTGTGGGGGGGGCAGCAATCGAATGGTAGGCCCCATTTGGTTGCCATGGAAACAGAACATTATGTAACACAGAGGCTCTCGCTGTACACCACATTACCAGGGGGAGAAATGTCTGCCGCCAGCAAGGAGACTGCAAAGACACTCTGTTTCACAAGTGACTGGCTGCAGCACACGGAACACGCTCCCTGGCGTGAAACGAAAACGGTTGCTCTCAAATATGACAAATATCACGTTAGGTCAGTGTTCTCGTCCATCTCCTTTCCACATGCGGACCAGATGTACAAGTTTTCCTGCTTCTGGTTTGCGCACACTTGATTGGCTCTCCAAGGTGAAGAAAAAAAGGGAAAAAGACTACGGAAATAAAAAGTCTAGCTTGTCCGGTGATCATCTCAAAATGAAAGCTTAATGATGATTAAGCATCTGTTTTTCCCCACTGTGTCGTCCATTTATCGATCTCCAATTATTCCACTTGTCTGTCATCATCGGCAAGGAGGGCAGCTTAGTCCTACTGTAGTGTTTAGAATGCATAACTAATTGACATCAAGACAGATGGGAAAATGATACAATTTAGATGTTTACTTGCACTATACTAACTCCATCACTGCTGTATAGACAAGACTTCCAGTTGCAGTTCACAGTATACAGAGTAATACTTTGATCAATTACAAAATCAATTATAGAACACTGAATAAACATTATGTATTGAGCTTACTTGATTCAAATGTGCAGATCTTTTCCGCATTAATACCACGACTATTACATCAATGCAACCACTGCCAAAAATATGTACACTGTAAGACAAAACTATGCTAATGTAACATATTTTACTCTTCTGGAAACGATGTGTGAATCTGAATCAAGTAATTACTTTTTTCAATGTGAGATAAACTATATGTCCAAAAGTTTGTAGACAATGTTTCTTCTGATATCAAGGACATTACTATAGAGTTTGTTCCCCTCTTTGCTGCAGTCACAGCCTCTACAGCCTCTTCCAGGTAAGGCTAAACTAGATGTTGGAACACTGCCGCGAGAATTTGATTGCACTTAGCCACAAGAGCATTAAGTGAGGGCAAATACTGGTATTGGACAATTAGCTCTGTGTCACAAGTGCTATTCTAATTCATCCCAAAAGTATTGGATAGTGCTTCATCACTCCAGAGAACACAGTTCCACTGTCTCCACAGATTAATGCTGGGGGGCATCTAGCTGATCTTACAGCCCTAACCTAACGCACAAAGCTGACCATTGGCTGTTGGTTGTTAAGAACAACTGACAAATCTTCATCGGTGCTCGGCCATCTGAGAGAGCACATAGGTGCATGCAGTGAGAAACGAAAGCAAGCAAAGCGAGCAAACGACACTCTTAAAGAGAGAATTTTTCAATGCCAGTGCAAATACCAATTTTTGCACTACCAAAGGGTTAGAAATATTTGTGTGAACCCAACAGGACCTGACTGCTCATGTCAGGTTCATAATTTCTCAAACACGTCAGCTTTAGGTCAGGTTCACATTTCACGTTTTACCCTGCATTTCTGCCTGCTTTAGTTTGTCTCCTTTCTTTATTCCTCACTACTTTAGCTACCTACGTTATTGTTTAATCTGGGATGCTGAAGTTACCCACTGAGCAACAAGCCCCATGAGGCCCACAATCTAAACAGGTAAAGGATAAAATCTTGCTATGTCATTACACAGCATTAGTAATAGCAACAGTGCAATTATGGAAAGTTTATTCAGACTAAAAAAAAGACTGAGAAGCTGTTCAAAAGCATTATTTTTGCAAATCAACTTGTTAAAGCAGAATTCAAGCTTCATTTCTGAGAGCTGAATGTTTTATTATAGTATATTATTTTATATTGTTTTATATTTTATTTATCCATGATCTAATGACGGCTATCATTGTCACTGCATGGTAACACACTGTCCAATTTATGCGGCACTTTTGGTGATGACAGGCCACACATTTTTGGACTGAATTTTGTTGTACTCAAGTCAGTTTTGGACTCAAAACATGACAAAATGGTTCGGATGGGTAGGGTTGGGATATAATTTTGTCGGGCTTGGGTCAGGCTCGGACTTAAAATGTGATGCTGCATGTCGGGTGGGCTCAGACAACGAATTACCAGGCTGTATTCAGATTCAGACCAAAATTTCAGGCCTGATTAATGCTCTACGATGGCCATTTTAACTATTTTTGCTATTTGAACATGCCAATCTTTAAACAAACAGGATGTATAATACAAATATCATATTGCCAACGAGAAAATATTTAATATTGTTATGAATAAACACAAAGGCGCTGATGGGGCTCCGATAAAACAATAGAATAAAATAAAGCACAGGATAATCAGTCATTTTATTGACTTTTTTGTCATATAATTTTGAATATTATTTTATTTTGCTGTTTAAAACACATTCCTTTAAATTATACCCCTTTTACTCACCCAGAGCCAAGTAAATGGTGGTTTACTTTCGCATACTAGGTTTAGTTTAAATACAGACATTTGAAGACAACTAATTGCTCTTGTTACATGTTGCATTTTCACAGACTACTGTTAGCTCCTGCTACACAAAGTTCTTTTATTTCATGCAGGTGCATTAAGTACGCATGTGCCTATCATCAGCTGCTTCACAGTATGTTCAAGTGCAATTTTTTTTTTACTGCCGACAAGAGGTGACAGTGAGCTAACGGAAGGTGTCGGAAGGCCTGCTAGTTGCTGCTAGTTCTTCCTTGTCAGCTTGGTGTGTCTGGGCCCTAGGCTCATGAGCGGCTGCTCTAGAGTGTCCTATTCTGTTGGCATTGCTTTTCTATGGAGTTTATACAAGTTCTGTGTGCCCTTGTTTGCAATTGGTGCACCTTAAAATAGGTGAATTAGTTAATTAAAAGTGTCTGGATACGTTTGGACATACAGTGTGCAATGGATAACAATCACTCCACAAATCTAATGTGAATCAAAGACAGAGCTGAGCAAAGCAATGTGCTTGAAATCTAAAAGGCAAGCAGTAAAGCAAATCTGCTCATGAAATAAATGGTACCTTCATGAGATATCAGATGACTCATCAAATACACTTGGCTTTTGCAAGGTTTTTTTCCCTCAATCCCCTGCTCGCTTTTGGGTTGTACACAGCCAACATATCAGGCTAAAAATGCTGATCTAAGATCAATTTTCACTTCTCACAAATCTTAACGACCTAGCATATGGACAGAGTGTATCTGATCTTGGATCAGCACTCTTGCATTGAGAGGTTTCTCTACAAATGGACCCCTCTCTGACCATAGCTTGACCTGAGTCTCTAAACTCCCTATCATTTCTGCTGTGGGACAGTGGCGAGCAGCGGTACTCACCTCCATCTTCCACTTGGCCAGCAACTCCTCCCTGGTCCTCTTGCTAATGTAATAAGGGTCACCCGCCTGGAAGGTTACTCTGGGCATGGGTCTCTGCCGCAGGCTGATTTCCCAGCCCACTCCCCCACGGAGCCTGCCTCGAGCTCCCTGTTTAAAGGGACAAATAAAAAGAAAAAGGAAAAAAAAAATTAACCGCTTGTTTAATTCACTCAGCTTATCTCTTTGTGCTATCGTTAAAAGAGGGAAGGAAGCAGGCAGTTTCTTAGAGAGCGATATGGGCAGAGTTTGTTTGTTGGAGGGATGGGGGCGGGGAGGCTACTGAGGAAAAGGGAGGCTGACTCACACACCCAAGAGCTGGGCAGAACGGAGAGTGTGTGAGTGCACACTCAGATAGTGAGGTACACTCTAATCAAAGAGTGTCCCTGGCTCTCTCTGTCCCTTCAGCCAGCCACTGCTTGTGGAAGAATGGGACCATCCAGAGGACCAAGTGTATTTGATATTTCAAATCTAGTCGCCATTTGGGTACCATTTCTTTCACAACTATGCGGTATCAGGAAAGAGGCTTTGTAAATGCAACTGTAACTGGAGACTGTCTTAATTGCAGACAATTGAGCTTTTGACAAAGAAGGAATGTACTGGAACATATATACAGACATACTCACATGCAGAGGACAAACAGACAACACAGAGAAAGTTGCATACCTCATTCTTCAAGAAGTCTCCACTTTCGTCCTCCTTGTGCTCGACGTCTACAGAGATACACAACCACACAGGAAGAAATAATTACCTCAAAAAGCTCTTTATAACCCGGACCTTATTAAATTCAATCAATATCTATTAGGATGTGTAATGTCTCCTAGCAGCTTTTATTACATATATTGGAAAGTGTACCAAGAAGAACTATTAAAAACAGCTTCGCATGGACATAAATGTCTCAATCTATACATGCACACTGAGATACTAGAGGACGAAAAGAAAAGATCAGTGTTAAAAGACCAGTGGAGAATAGAAGCAGAGCGCACCAGGCTCATAACTGAGCTGCTCAAAAGTTATATCTGTAATTACTAATTACCAAACACAAACACAGAACAGCACAGTTTATTAATTGTCATACTTGGTTAAAGATAACAGTCATTTTGAAATACAGAACAATAACTTAAAAATATTTCAAATAGAATCATAAAGGGATTGCCTGATTATTTACATTACGCAGGGAGGCCCAGTGTTGCGTGTGTAGACTATATTACACGCAGCAGCTACTCTATTTCATATTCTGCTGACTATAAGCAAAATCCTTGCCCAGCAGCCTTTGAGGTGCTCTGGCATTTTAATGCTCCATTGAGAATATATGGAAAAGTCATTCTGGAGCTAATTCAGCCTTCTGAGCCTTCTAAAGCTACTGCACCATCATTACTTGCATATGATGACACTGACAGTGCAGTAGCTTCAAAATGCAATTTCAATAATATGCCCTTAGTGAATAAAACGTGGCACTAATCTAATTGCAATAGATTGTTATAGCCACATGTAAGTGTTCACTCCAGATATATCATTCAGGTCACTCTATGCAAACCTAAAGGACAGAATGTGACCAGATGGGGGCTTCAGGTTCAGAAGAGCAGCAACACTTAACACTCACAGCACATTCTGAAGCATCAGACTAACTGGATGAAATGGAAAAAGGTCTCATTAAGGAAGCATATTACGGGGCGAGGGAGGGCACAAAATCAACTTCTGGCCTAAATACAACTTAAATTTAAAGGCAGCAGTATACCTTAAGGAACTAAAAATCAAACTACAGCCAAACTCGCTGTGTTAAGTATACCTCGTTCTTTGTGTATGTTTGTGCACCACCGCTAGAAGCTCACTCGGTGCAATGGACCTATCGCAATCAAGGGGAGGTCTCACAAATGACACAGTCATTAAGACCAATCACAGTCAGGGAATATGTTAGAACAAACAATGCGGTGATTAGGACCAATCACAGTGGGGAGTCTCAGAACAAACAAAGTGGTGATTAGGATCAATCACAGTCAGGTGGAGTCTCAGAACAAATGACACAGTGTTTACGCCCCATTTACCTGTGCCAGCTCGCCCCTTTTTTACATCACATCAAGGGTGGAGAAACCAATATAAATAGAGTGTGGGTGGCATGTACCAGCTCTCATGTAAATTATTGCATAGCCTTTCTATAAATAAAATAAGAATGTCAATAGAGACAATTGTAGTTGTCCTTATTGAGGACAATTTTTTACTTGTGGCTTCAGAAAGTACATAAAATTTTACCATTCCTCACCAGGGTTTGTCAATGACTTACTCGTGCCACTTGTTATGATATGACACAACTTCACAACTGAGTCAGAGCTTTTGTGCAGCAAAAGCAGCATATACCAGATCACCTGTCACTTATAAATGGAGTGGAAACCACAGCCACATGGCACAACCGGCACATGTGCCGGGCGGATAATAAAACACACCCACCATTCACAGTCAAGGGGGTGTCAGAACAAACAACAATTAGGACAAAATCGGAGACAACAATAAAAAAAGCAGATCTTATCCGATCAGCAACTTTCACTGGTCTTACATTGCATACATATTAATTAGTGATGTAACGTTTCTGAAACAAAACCAAAATCCATAAATTCTAATGCAGTAGTGTGCAGCCATTCAAACTGTAAAGAATACAGGACTCTGTTTAACGCTGTTAAAGATGCTTGAGCCATGGTATGAAATTCCAAGCACACCACATTTCAGTACACACATGGTTCCTGATAAAACACACCTTGAAAACTCAGTTAGATTAGTAAGATTTATTTTACTTGTTGATGTTTACATTTAATTTGCTCGCTGTTAACATGTTTTATACTTGCTGACTGGTACAGCTGCTCTACCTCTTGATGTTTACATGAATTATTCCTGTTGATGATTTTAATCTACTTGCCGGTGTCTACATTTATTTCACTTGTTTTTATTTTTGCAGTTTGTTCTACAACAGTGTTGTAAAATAGGAAGTTTTAAAAGTAATTTAATTTTTTCTCTTTTTGAAAAGACTGCTGGATTCAGTTTTGCACATCTTACATTAAACTGAGTGCAATAAAAAAAAATTAAACTGAATGCCAAACCAACACATAGAAGGGTTGAGCTGTTACACCTCTAATATTAACACATTCCCATTTACTTAGAAATTAAAGGCAGATCGGAATTCATGTTGTACTATGGGTATACTGTAGAGCCTCGTTCTCTTGTACTGTGTGGTTCCGTAAACACAGGCCCGGTCTTGCACGTTGTACTGAGGCCGTGGAGAAATGTTGTTTCATTACATTGTACACTTGTGACAAGAAAGTTCTTTTTAATCTTAAAGTGTTAGTTTTTCTACTTTACACTGCACAGCACATGCAGACATCACTGTAATCACCAACCAGTGTTGGTAGCATGTCAACTTGTTGATAAAATATGTGTATGTGGCTTCTTCGAGGGCGGAGACACGTGTTCACACTAATGACAGATATGGGTCACTTAAACACAAATGTGAACCGCCGAGGCAGAAAGATCAGATCAAATCTGAACAAAAAAAAAAACGGAAATGAGCAATAAGGCTTGTAATGAAAACGTAGCCCTTGACAGGGAATCATCCTTGTGAAGAGAAGGTTGCGGTTGGAGGCTAAAGGGAGCGGGGAGGTTGAGGAGTGTCAGCCAGAGTGGTGATGAGTATGGAGGGAGGCCAGGTTTACTTTGGCTGCGCTCACACCCCTGACCCTACAGCTCGTCCTGCTGAGCCTCCACAGCTGCCTGCTATTAGCCCATCCCCTCCCCACCCCCACCACCCGCTGCACGCTAACCTTAACAACGAGCATACTGGACCGCTTGTGCCGAAGACATCCGCAGCTAGGCCACTCATTAATCTTAACGAACCAACTTTTAGAATTCAACCAAAGTTGTTTGCGACGCACTGTTTGGGAAAAGTTTAAGCCCTTGAGGTTGTTTGCACTATGTTGTTTAGATAAGTGCTGCACTAGCTAAGCTGGTCTTCATATCAGATTTGTTAATCTAGAGTGACTAACTGTGTGATTTAGCTGTATAGAAATTTATACAGTACTGAAAAAAGGTTTGCATAAGTTCCCTAGAAAATGCACAAGAAAGGAACTGTAATCACAACAACCACACAAGTAATCAATTTGTTATCAATAAAAAACCTTCAAGGTGATTTTAGAATATTCAAGAACACAAGCAATCTTGAAAAAGTGATATAGGTAAAGCCTCAACATCTAAATGACTCCTTCTAAGGATTAAATATGTTTTATGATGCATGTAAGTTAGTAAGTCTGACCAGTTAAACTGTGCTGTCTCATGTCTAATGCTTCACAGTTCTGTGCTTACGCACTTGAGCCATGAGTTAATTTACATTCCTTAAGTCCTCACATAAAAGGATGTAGTTCAATTCTAAACAGCTCTGTTTTGGCTGGTTTCAGAAGGGCAGGCAGGGGTTAGTCAGAGGATACTATTTCTAGTGACCTGAAAAGCTAGCAGGTCTATTACAATGATTCATGATTCATGAGCAATAGGACAGTGCTAAGCAGGGCATAAGAAGCATGAGAAGGATGGACAACCACTCAATGGAGCTCATTTAACTTAGGCTACATCTTCACACCAACATGTTAATTTTCCCTTAATTCTATGGGAAAGTTGCATTGCTGTACTGACTTCACGGCTATTTGGGTTATGCATTGTTGGCGAGACACTCATAACTTAATACAATTTAATTACTCATTATACTGTAAATTTGTGAAGATGCATATTTAAAAACTTCCAAAAATTATTTTTGTCCAGAGCTTATTTTTAATGGCCTTAAGCTATTTATTAGTGTGTTATCCTGAATACATGAAGCATCTTAAATGATTCATAGTTCTCTCTACAACATCAAAGCGACAAACTGACTGGGCTCCTGACACTTGCTGTGGAACTCTAAAAGGGGAAAGAAAGATTTTTTTCAACAAACTCTGCTGGTTATGTAAATAATGTAAAACAATTACAGAGATTTCTGATCACTAACAGCATGTTAGACTATCTAAATTCTTACGTTTGTAAACAACTGTGCCTCAGGCACTTACTGGTTCGTCTTCTCTACAGCGATACAACATGAGTTTTAAATGAAACTTAAACTAAAAATGACAAAAAAACATACTGTGCTTGGTGATGAAAAGAATTTTTACAAAAGAAAAAGCTTTTTTTGTTTAGTTTACATCAGAGATGGAAGTTTTACAAGGACAGACCTGGATTACAAAAATTAACTGTTAGAGGCGCTTCAGCTTTTTGGTCTATTGGTGGGGCTGGTTAGTGCTGGGAGATGGATTGAGTTTATGGAAAACACTTTATCACCTGTTTCTAGACTGGACAGTGAAATGGAGAGCTTTACATTTTGATTGTTGCTCTATGCAACCGACGGCAATAGAGTATTCCCAAGACATTGTAAAATGTCTGTTTCTGGTGTTTATTTGTATTATGTCCATACTCAGTGGTCTAAGGTAAGACACACTGTCACAGACAGTGAGTTGCCGGTGCTATACTTTACTGACATTGACAGTTACTCACAGCATTATTAGGCTTGAAAAATGAAATACATCCAAGGGGTTAACCCAAAATACAGTACTGTACAAAAGTCAGAGACCACACTTCATGTTTTTTAATTTCCAGTCAGAACTGCCATTAACTACAAGTTATTCATCTTTCAGCATCAGGGAAAAAAGGAGGTAACGTAACTGGCTGTATTTTCTGCTTCTCACAATCCAAGCGCTAGGAGGGTGAAAGCTAGCAGAGGCTTCCTCCAAGACCTGTGAAGCCAGCCACCGCATCTTATTTTCTTTTCTGAGTAATGGCATCTTTAGACCCTTAGCATTGAGTTAGGCGTCCCACTTTTTCTATGTCTTTTTAATTTTCTGAACTCCAATTTTGGAACCCCTTGTTGTTCACTTATTTTACTTTGTCTTTTCCCTTTCTTATGCATGTGGATTTATCTTATATCTAATATTCTCAAAAATATCTCCTGAAAAATAATAACTTGTACTTAATGGCTGTTCTGACTGGAAATTAAACAACTGAAGAGTGGTCTCACCTTTTTACACAATACTATATATCACCATTTCTGCTTATGAAGTCTTCATTTAACTTTTTATGTGTACTTCTAGTAACAATGAAAGAGAGAGGACGAGAGAGAGAGAGAGAGAGAGAGAGAGAAAGAGAGAGAGAGAGAGAGAGAGAGAGAGAGAGAGAGAGAGAGAGAGTACACCTGTCAAAATTACTTAATAAACATTACCAATGATGTGACTCAAAGGATCCCAAATTAATTCTGCGCTCTGTCCTTTCGCTGTCTAATGTTCTGTGTATTTCTTCTAGTAAACAGTAGGCAGGCTGTTAAAGAAGAAATTTGAAGTGGATGTTGGAACGTCAATAGGATCTGATCTATAGGCTATGCTTGAACTATTTTCAAAGACGTGTAAACACAGGTGAAACTCTCATTCACAAAGGAGCCTGTAATTACGGAAATAAATAGTAAGGACAACTTATTCTGTGCATATCAGTTCAATAAAATGAATTAGGTATAATCCACAAGGCAATAATTACAATATAATACAACAAACGTATGAGACAACTGTTTTCATGTCTGGCCTTCAATAATGCAGTATAATCACAGGTTGACCTCACAGCTCCAGTCCGATGGACTGGAATTTTTGTTTTCCCAAGTCATACACCCATCTCCATAATTATCTGATAACCTGACAATTATCTGATGAGATGAATCACTGGGTTAAACCCAAATATATTACCATTTTTGTTAATCAGATCTTCATTTAATATTCCATTTGCACACCTAGTAGTGCTGTCCTTCATGTACAAATGACAGGATCAACTATTGTGGAGCTGAACCACCCAAACTCAAAGCCACATGGACACAGAAGTAGTTTACACTGACCCCTGTCTGTCTCATTCTCCCTATCATATAAAGAGTGCCTAGGGGAGAGTTGTTTGAAGCTTGTCTGAGCCTATTAGAGTTTCATCATCTGGTCACATTAGAGCACTTCAGTATTAAGAGGCCAGGGGCAAAATCTGAGAGGTTGTTTTTTTCACAAGAGGTAGTAGGTCTGCTGCTGAAGTACCATACACACCCAGCCAAACAAAAAGCCCACACCCACCAAGCACTCTTTAAATCTGTACCATGTGTACCATCCCTACTTTCTCTCTCTTGTTCTCTCTCTCAATGGGAATAAGTGACTACACAATCATTCGGTAAGGCCGAGGAGGGGCTTGTTCCACTCTGGCTGCCAAGGTCAGCGGGTTCATGAGCATGGTTGGCACGCTGTGCCCATAGAGACTCCAGTGTGCCAGGCTTGTGCAAGTGCCAATCTGCATGTTCTTAGTGCCCAGTTCCTCTCCACTGAGCTGAGATCCTTCCTGTGCCCTCCAGATGGACAGCACGAAAACCGCATTGGGCACCACTGATCAACCCCACAACTGTCTATCAGAGTGCTCCCCTGTGTTTGATTCATGTTTATTAAAATGTGTATTTGCACAGCTGAATCTGAAGGCAAAGTTACAACGGTCTGCGATTAGTTGTTAAAGCGGACTGCATTTATGGTTATCTCTGAGATTGGAAAGTCGGCTAGCGGAGTGATAGTGAGCCAAGGAAAATGCTTGGCGGCACGGCAGCCATGCTGTGGATCTCTGTTACAGGGAACAAGTAATGGCAGATAGAGGGACATTGTGATCTGCTCCTACAGGCTGAACAGGACCCCTGAGCTGCCTTCCATATGCCTGAGCTGAACTACTTGGATTCCTCTTTTTATTGTGTTAGCACAGTGCAACAAGCATGGAAACTGATTCAACAATTGACAGTAAGTATAGGGAAAAACTTCTAGTCATGCAATAACTTATAGACTGTGTATCTAGTCTAAACCTATATGTGAGTCTTCACAGCACATTTTCATAACTGCCATGGGTGTAAAAATAGACTGTTGTACTGTTATACCGCAATGCATGTGCATCATGAAGAATTGGCATTCTATTAATTATGCCATCTAATGCGACTATATTGTTTAAACACCAAAAATGACCAGCACCAATCAACAACTCACTCTAGTCTCATTAGTAAGTAGAAGACTGCACTAGTTATCATTATGGGCTGAGCATATCCTTACACCTCTAATAACCACCTAACCTTCATATTAGTCTCACAGTGGTTACTGAACAAATCATAGTAATTACTGAGTCTTAAGATTAATAAGTGAAAAAAGGCCTGGAGTTCAAAGGATAAAACAGCACTGTGCACTATACTAGGAAACATTTCCACTATAATTAACAAATTATTTGTCTTTTTGACAATTTTATGCCACTCTAAAGCATTTATTTTGGCTAAATGGCTACCTTGCTTGCTATTCAGTTTAACTTATTGGCTAATATGAGTCAAGCAAAGTTTTAGTTTTACTCTGTCAAATCAGAAAATATGAGCGAAAATCCTCCTTCTGTGGAAGATATACAAATGTTAATAGCATTACTGGTAGCTTCCTATATGGAGCAATCATTCTAAAAATGTCACTCAATATCAACTTACTATTTATATTTTGTTGCCGGTCTTGATCATTTAATAGTTCTTAATGACTTTATCTTCACCTGAAGTGGGAATGAATTTTAGAAATTGTCACTGGCTGCAGGTATTATCAAACAGAGAGAAGACCGTCGGGTAACACTGGGTCCTGCTGGTACCAAAAATTACAAAATTATGACCCTCAGTAATGGACCAATGGTCAGTGAAAAAAGCAGTTTTCTGGTGACAAAATGTCCAGTATTATGTGCAGTGGAAAAATTTTCTTAGTGTGTCCGGTTGCTGAAATAATGTTAGTCAGCACTGATTGGGTTTAAAGAAGCTGACGCAGGATCAGTGCATAAACATATATCATAAAAAGGGAGAGCATAGTGTGTATACATGTGTGTGGTATATGTGTGCAACGGGTGAATGAGTACAAACTGAGTTTTTGGGTGCCTGATATAGGATCAGCGTGTAAGTGGCCTGGGCATGGTGCCATCCACCTGGCACAGTCCCTGCTGAGAGAACGGCTACAACACAGTCCTGCTGTCTCTCCATGCGCTGCACCCAACCGGGGCAGGTTGCCAGGAGACAGTTCAGTCTACCCGGCTTTATTTACTGCTCTCATCAAGGTCACAGCCTGCCCCGGCCAGGCAGCACAGGGGAGGCAGAGATAGAGAAAGACAAAGACAGTTTGATAGTTCTACCCATCAGCACATCTGACAGTGAGAGTTGTCTCTATAGGACACGTTCTCTTACCTTCATCATTCTTTAAGTTACATTGCGTTCACTATTTTTGATTTATATTTCTACATTAACCCTTAAGCTCCTAAATTAGCCCCCTTCTATTTCTTAGCCTCTTCAGTACATTACCTGCATATTAGTTTCAGAGTATTTACTTCATTCTTTGCTGAGTAATACAACCTAAAATGAATAACTAAATAATAAACCTGCATTTTAAAGAGTTAATCCCGCCAACACAAAAGGTGAATGAACTGTTCTGGACAACTCCAGCTGCCAAACTTCCAGCACTACCACAGCCAAAATACTGTAGTTGAGTAATATTTTCACAACACCTCTCTGTTCATAACTACAGGCTGAAATTTCTATCATGACAGTGACACATCCAAGGCCCTCATCCCACAAACCCTCGCTGCCTCGAAGGCAGCTGTGAAATACGACGCCCAAAGAGGCTGAGCATAACTCACATTTAGTCGGCCGCTCCAGTTTCCGTCTCCCTCGTTTCTTGCGAGGCAGAGTTGGCAGCGTCTCCTCTTTGTCCTTCTCGGAGTCGCGCTCGTCCCGGGCAAGAGCAAATCCGTTCTCCACGGAGGGGCTCATGCTCGGGTCAGCGGGGCACTGAGCCCTGCAGCCTGCAGGACGAGGGAGACCGTTTTCCGGAGCATTCTTGTCCTGCGTGGGATAAGAGCACTCGGAGGATCTGTCCTCATGCCTCTTTCCCACATCTCCATTCTGAACCTGAACCTGCGAACAGGACTGGAGCTCCACCCCTCTGTGATTCTTAGCCACGCCCACCAGATCTTTCAGTGATCCACAGTTTTCCACCTGCAACAGGAAACATCACCATAAACACTCTAGCCATATGTATTCTGCTCCACACTGTTAATGTCAGAGAAGTTTTAATATCCTCCACTGACAATAAGAGGATGCGGCGCTTAAAATTTTTAATCTGCAGGAAGAGGATCACTTTCTGCGTTCTCTGAGAGGGATTATAGCAGGATTCTTATATATCAGCAAAATACAAATGTATATATAAACTTTGCATTTATAATGGTAATCATTTGATTGTTTGATCTGCATGTGTGCTCTTAAAACAAAAAGGCTCAAAACCTCAATAAATGATGCAAAGTTACAGCTCTAATACCTGGAGAGCAGAATGTGCTAAAACTGGAAGCACCTGGAATCAAACAGAACCCTACAGTCTAACACTGGTGTAAATAATTGAAGCTGCAACTCTCATGAATGTGTCTAGGGGTTTAAACACCTTTAAACCTTTAGCTAGCTAGATGCATATTTATGTGTCAGTCAATGGCTTCCCCTTTTTTGATTTACAGAAATCATTTAAAACATACAATTTATTCAACAGAAGCACAAATATACTAAATAAAGACACCATGAAATAACCTGAGACACATTAATGCTAGCTTATTATCAACATAGCTTTGAATCTTTTTACATTTTTAGCTTAATTTTATGCTATAAAAAACAAACTAAGGCCTTTCTTTCTACTTATAATGAAATAATATGTAAAAAGCCTCCAGTTTTTGCTAAAACCTAGTCCACTCCTAAACCTTACTAAAGCAGCATACCACGTGCTCCTCATACTTTCCATGTATCTTCATATTTGTATTAGTATGTTGACACACTGCTCTTTCACGATATTCATTTCGGTTATCAGCTATTTAATCTGTTTGACAGACTCGTGAGAGGCGAGCCAGACTAGCATTCATGAGTCAACTAGGTTAGCTAGGTTAACTTAACTAAACCTAGACAGCTAACTAGCACAGCTCACTTTTTAAAATGACATGGACGTCCTTTACTGGTCAGTGATTTTTGAACGTTTCGAGGGCTCTTCTTCCAGAGCCTTTCTTCTCCTGATATTCGGTCTTTAGCCTCCTCCATCTTTACCCTTCTTCACTTTTCTCGACCGTGTAAAATGTTAACGTTAGTTAGCGAGGCAGCTAACCTAGTTAAGTTACCGTTACTGAGGTAAACAGGTCAAACGAAACCAAAGCGCGATAAAGTAGAAGTTACGAATATTGTGTCAGCGCTTCGTGCTGTTTATCAGAGCGTGGCCCTTCTTTTCTCCCTCTTGTCTTTGTTTTGTTTCTTTTCGTGTTTGGAAGCCAGACTTTTCTTTAGGAAGCTGAAACATGATGCTCCACCAGCACTTTCCACTGCTAGCAAGTACAGTTCGCGCCTGATTTCGGAGCAGGAACGAACTATTTCATGGCGGGGGTGGGGGGTGGACGTGTTTACTTTAGCCAGAAACAAGACAACAAAACATTATTTAATTTGATTTTTTAATTACATTTTTCAATTTAATACTGAAAAAATTGACCAAATGTTCTAATAATATTTTAGGGTCCCTGTCAGTCACAGGCCCTTAAAATCGTCCTAACTTTCCCCCCTCATATGGCATCCCTGAGGACTATGGAGATAATTTTCTGCCATAAGTTTCAAATAAAGTAATAAAATCCACAATCAACATGTTAAATATCAAAGTGTCTAAAATATGCTGCAAATACAATTAATGACAGTTAAATTAAACTTAATTTTAATTCATTCTTAAAAATTACTATTCATTTTCACTCATTTTGCCAGTCTTTGCTTTTATTGTTTTCTATTTGCTGATTTGGCTTCTGGAATCACTCTTTTGCTTCTGCCTTTCTAAGAGGTTGTTCACCTGCACTCTCTATTGGTCAACTGATTTGGAGTGACAGGTCTTCTGAACACATAACCACGCCCACTTTGAGAGCTGCGATCTGACTCCCAACATGGAAGAACACTTCGGGAATTACCAGAGAGGGATGTACTGGCATGTCTAAAGTTATGAGCAATGTTTGTCATATTTATTAATGTAACACATGCCCTCTGTTTCATGTTGGGGTAGCACTCGGCTGAGTATTTCCTAGTTCTTGTTAAGGCTGTTTATTTAAGTGCCTGTGGAATAAAAGAGAATTTGCCTGTACGTACAATGTTTTCAGCGTCTTTTTCTGTGTTGACACTACAATATATTCTGGAAATCGAAGTATATCAGTATACTTAAGTATATTATTTAGCTGTAGAATGAAGCTGTACCATCGTTGGGTTTGCAGCTGGTAGCGCTAACTAGCCTAGCCTAAAGAAATATGACACACATTGCTCACAACGTCAGATATTACAGTACAATGTTGCTCTATTGGCACCATGCAGTGCGTATTCCACCATGGTGGGGCAGTTCACGCTGAGTGGCTACATGTCCCGAAGACCTGTCACTCCGAATCACAGAGAGTGCTGGTGAACACCCTCTTCTAAGACCCACCCTCTGTAAAAATGTGCCGAAAGTCAGAAGTAAAAGAAAGATTTATGAAACAAAAACATATCAGCAAGATCATTAAACAGAAAAAGTTGGCAAAACTGGATAATCTGGGTGAGTAAAATGAGTGATACATTTATATCAAAGTGAATGAGTGAAAATAAGAGTTGTACTTGCAAGATATAACATATTTTGGACATTTTGACACTTAACATTCTGCTTGTGGATTTTATTACCTTAATTTGAAACTTTTGGCACACAATTAAGTCCACAGGGTTGCCCTTCATGCAGGAGATCATTAACCTACAATATGGGAGAGATGGGAGCTACACATAAACAAAAAAGATTAAAAAGGTTGTTTTTTCCCACAAGTGCTTTGCCTGGGAGAAGGAAAAGTGGATAGTGGTTGTGGCTGTAAGGTAAAACCGGGCTTAGCTAATCGTGATGCCTCCAAAACCCTTCACAGACTCTGTAAACTCTTACAAAAAAAAGCAACTTGACATCGAGCTCAACTGCTACCCATTATATTTATTCCATTCTATTATGTAGTGCTGTTTACACGGGACATTACCCCATTTTGTGTTTTGGGACTCCTTTCAACAGTGAGTTTTCACCAGACAAGGTGCAGACCAAATGCACCACATCATTCTATACAATGATGGTTCCTATTATGCACGTATCACTTTGCAGACACAGTTCTCTTCTACGGGTTTATGGAAAGTGTCAAGTCACTTAAGACACCAGCCTCCATGCTTTATGTCTACATATCCTGCATAGCATGCCATTAATCTCTTTACACAAACATACATCAGCCCACTGATCCAGCCACCTGCTTAGCATTTGTGAGAGGCACAAGATTGATATGAGAAACTGTTGAAATCGAGGAGGACAGATTGAGAGCCTCAGGAGAACGGTGCTGCCGGAGTGACAGTGGCGTCTCTCTTCAGACTAGCAGCTGCTGCTTCGCCTCACCGGCTTTGGATGTCAAAGCCATTCTCGTGAAGAGGAAATCAAAGAGGGCACTGACAGAACACAAACGTTTTTCACGACTCACACTAAGGGCAAAGAAAATGAAGAAACTCCTACAGCAGCTGCTGGATCGTTTGGTTCTCTTGCTGTTCTCTAAAGTGTGAGAACTCAATCATGTCTCAGCATTTCATGTGACAAGCAATACTGTATATAGTATTGCAAATCTATTGGACAAGCTTGTTCTAATGATGTTAGAAGAAGTAGGACTTACAGTTGTGAGAAGATGAGAATCTTTGTGAAGTATCTGGATTTCTGTCTGAGAGGTTCCTATATAGTGATCTGATCCTCATCGATGTCCAAATAATAAATAAAGACCTTCATATTTAATAACATATATTTTTCATCGCCATATCTTTATTGAACAACTAGTTTAAGCAGTCAAGGTCACTGGAGGAAAATGTGTGTGAATCTCTAGGATAGTGACCCCTTGAAAAAAAAGGTCAAGTGAGGTGAGGTGTTTCAGTCAGTTCAGCTGTGGGTTTGATCTGCCCTGCATAAACAATTTGGTTATCCACTGTTTACAAGAGAGTTCTGTTCTGATGCAATATGGCCCGATCAAAAGAGATTTCAGAAGACCTCAAAAGAAATGTTGTTGATACTCATATGACTGGAAAGGGTTGCAAAAGGATTTCTAAAAACTTGGGATTCCATCCACCCTATAAAATGGTTCTTTGATGATGCTGTAGAAAAAGCAGCAGTTGTACACAGAATCATGAACATTTTGAATGCACAAATGCTTCTTTGCATGACTAAATGGTTCTTCTTTATGATGGAAAACTTGTTGTATATGGATCTTTGAAGAGGCTTTTTAAAAATATGAACCACCAAAAAGAGTTACACTCTCGTTACAAGTCACACAGCTGTTTTGGTACTATAAAGAACCCTTTTTGCTAAGAGTGAAAGTTTAAACATTCAGCAGGTGTTGGTGTCTAATAGAGATGACATGATAACACCTTTTCTTTTCCAATATCAATACTGATATTAAAACCTTGAATATCAGCCAATACTGATCTAATAGGTTTTCTACTAAGCTTTGAAATTAGTTATACTTCATTAAAGCTCTTCACTTAAGATGAGCATCTCAAAGTAGTTGATCATGTTTAAACTTCTCAAACACTCTACCACCCCACAGGAGGAAATGCACTGCCAACATCATATCACACATATGCAAACGTGTTGTATATCTAGACCTGTAACACGACTGAATCAGGGTTTTTCTTTTTTTCGATGGGGGTAATGAGATACAGTAATGTGATTACTTTTTCCTGTAACAAAGAAATGTAATGCATGTCAGTTGTAATTACATTACAATTACTGACCTAATAAGAATCACATTACTTTTGTTACTCAAACATCTTTAAGAGAAGCAAAAATAAAAAGTTGTACATCATAAACTACTATATGTATAGTCTATGTGTGTCATTGTACATAATTTGCCCATGTGAGTCGTCAGCTGACAGCATGACTGTGATTGATCACTCTAATATGAAACTGTTGG